TTGTTAGCAGAGTACATTACAAATTCCATACCGGTATTTGTACTCGGGCAGTTTGGGCTCGGCAGTCAGAGTCACTAACCACTATTCCGTCTGGGCGGCACTTACTTTTGTTCAAATAGTAATATAATTTTTCAATATTTTGATATTTTTCTATTTATATCATTTCCCACCCAAAACGAAAAATGTGTTAATAAAGCTCGAAGCTCCAGAAATTGAAATCAATTTTTAACTGAGTTTTATTATTCAAATTAATGATTTAGTTTCACGAGTTCGCAGTAATACGAATTTTTTTATTAAAGGAAAATAACTATATGATATTATTAGTCCAAAGGGGCTTTGTCTCTGAGGGAATATTGTTTTTATTTTGCGATTTTGTTTCAAATCACTTAGAATGTCCCTTTCACTTTTCAAACTATTGTCACCAAATATTATCGCCCTGATGTATTATATTTGAAGAAATTAAATAATGAAGAATATGCATAAATGTATGTATGTTTCTCGCATTGTGATAAAAAGAATGGTACCTAGAGCCATCCAATTTTGAATGGCGTAACCCTACTGCGAATGTGGGCATCTGGAAGTCCAAATTTGTTTTACTATCGATTTCATGTTTTGTAAAACGTTAACGAATTTTTTATTAACAAATTCAACGATTTGAAAGCGAGTAATAGCAACAATCTACGGGGTGGAGGAACCTTTTTATCTCCAACGCGCGGAACTGTGTATCGGAAATTCTAAAGATATGCTCAAAAGATATGCTCAGTTTAAAACTATTTTGCGATATTGCTCTTGAACTGAATTTTATGGTTTAAGTGTGAAGAACATGATATTTAATAAATAAAAGTAACACACAAAATGTTAAAAAACGCCCCTTCGGATGTCATTTAAAATCTGAAACCTTTCAGATTTTCTTTTATATATATATATATTCATTTGACTTATTATATGTTTTTAATTTGTAGAAATATTTAATCCTAAACTCAGCGAGCTTTTAAATTAATCATAGGTTTTTAGACAGCAAGTTTATTATTTTATTTATTTAATAAAAATCAGAAAATCTAATCATCAAAACGTTTCAATATTTAGAAAAGTACTAATTTTTTTTTTAATTTGAATTTCAAATTTTTTGAGTATTTTTCTTACTGTTTTACATTTTAATACTTTAACAATTTTATTTCCTTTGTGCCAAAAAACGGAAATTTACAAGCTTTAATTTGACATTGACATTCAAAACAAAGTGGAAAACTGCACTTTTATTAGTGGCATGCCGTAGTTTTCACAAAAGAGGATTAGATATGAAGGTCTAAAAGACGACCATCAGTAATTTCAAAGTATTTTGGTCCTCAGTCGAGGTAGTCATCTTAAAGGTTCCATATTAGTAAATGGTTAGCGAGGTTTACTGCTAAAAAAATTTTATTTATATTATAGGGTTCCAACCTTGAATCTACAGCTATGTGTGTGGAACCTTGAGAACTGGTGAGCGAATAACCGCTTTAGCTCAGGAAACAGAAACGTAAACTCAAGAAAGGTTAATTACCTTTTACTGCTGAAAATAAGGATTAACAGATGGCCCTTTTCTCAGGACGTACAGAAAAGCCTCCACTTGGGTTTGAACTCAAGAGTACTAAGAAATAAAGCTTAACTAATGCTCAAATAAAAAGATATAGCCGAAGCTATCAAAATTCTACAAGAGTTGGCCCCCAACTGTTAACTAAACGGCAAAGCTATCAAAAGCCCGAAATACGGCAGAGCGTAGTAATATCTTAGACAGAGGCCAAAAGGCAAAGGCGCACTAGTCAGAATCTGGCTCTCTAACGAAGTCAGTGGAACTTCGACTTAAATACTGCTCTTCCTTCATTTGCATTAACCGCGATTCTAAAAACACACTCTGGCAGGAAATTCGTAAGCTAAAATTAGAAGACACAGGAAAGTAGCTTTAACTGAAGATAACTGTTAAAAACTTAAGATAAACCTTACAATGTTTTCATTATTATTTCCCCTTCTAGAAGCGACCAATAATTAACCATTTTAAAACTGTTTAACGTATTGATAAAGACAGGTATAAGGATTCATTCTTGCTCAAATGGCTAAATCTATCTTATCTGATTATTAGCATTAGAGGGGTTATTAGTTTCGAAACTCGCTTTTTATCCGCATCATTTTTGTATCCGAATCACTTTTCAAATAATTTCCACCAAATGTTATGGCTTTGTAGTATTTTAAAAAATTAAATAAAGAAGAATTTATGCGTATTTATGTATGTTATGGAGCCTAGAGGCAATGACATTTTAATAGGCGTAGTATTAAAACATCCTGCACCTAACCATGAATACCTTGAAGCCCAAATTTTGAATTTCTTTTTAATTTATTTCATATTTTGTAAAAATTTAATGAATTTTTGTTTAACAAACTCAAAGATTTAAAAGCGAGAAGGGACAACACTGTTCAAAATAAAACGTTTTTATATCCAGCACGCCAGACTGTTCTTTGCTTCAAACAGAATATTTCAAGTAGGTTAGAATAAATGGAATAAGCCTCTTGCGTATGCTCGGTACAATGAAAATTTTCCAAATTTTAAAAATTACTAAATCACTGCACATTTTCGGAAAATAATTCCACAGAGGGAATTTCCCCCTGGTTGAGAAACACTGTCTTAGACAATTGTCATGAATTCCACAAAATATAGCAATGGAAATTGTTGACGTTAAATATGAATTTTGATTTTTTTCAATTACTTTTTCGTGCACAGAAATAAACCTAATATTTACAATCTCACCATATGTAGAAATTGTGCCACTGATTTCAAAAGTTCTTCAAAAGTTCCACTGATTTCAAAAGTTTGAAATTCTGTACAAGATCTGGCAGCACATGAACGGTAGGTAGAAACGTTCTGCTATAACAAATCGTCATTCCCAGACACATTTCGATTCTAAAGCGAGTGATACATCATTACACGAAAGTGAGCTCGCTGATATGCATTTTATTCATTGGACTCTAATAAAATGTGACGCAATCACAGACATTACTAAAGCAATTGCCCCCCAGTTTTTCTTATAACTGAACATAACATTCTATGAACTGAATGAATTCTATGAATATTCTATGGCTGAATGTGAGTTGGTGTAAATAAAGAATTGATAAAAATAACCCGTAAAGGGTAAATAGAGATGTGAAAATAAGTTTTTCTCATCTCCATACACTTTACGGGATTCGAATCAGAGTCCAACACAACATCTCTCCTTTGGACTTCTACCTTTTTTCCCGCTTGGAGCTACGTTTTCCTGATGCTGTCTTTTATTTTGCATAGGACGTTTGAAATGAGGTTGATCTGTTTTTGGACTCACGGCCACCACGTTTCTGGGCCGAAGGCTTTGAAAAACTACCAAAACGTTGGTAGAAAATCGTTACAACCAGATATTATATACTTTTGTATACATGAAACGTAAAGGTACATTTTTACTACTCGCAAATTTTTTCAAAAAACACTAAATACTTCCCTTTAAGCATAATTGAAGTGGAGCAAGAGATATGTGCAAAAACTCTCCTTTCGAATCTCGGAGAAACTTTTTGACATCAAATTTAAGACATTTAGTGTTTTCTGAAAAACTTGGTGATATTTTGGAATATTTAGAGAGCACGTTTTTCTAACTACCATACCAAACAGCTCGTTAAGTGTAATTTAAATGGAGCCAGAGATATGTGCAAAAACTCCCCTTTCGAATCTTGGAGAAAATTTTTGACATAAAATTCAAGACACTTAGTGTTTTTTGAAAAACTTGGTGATATTTTGGAATATTTAGGGAGCACGTTTTCGAAGCTTTTTTTGAAGAAAACAATTTTTCTCGAGCTTTGATAAGTGTATATCCTTCCCTTTGAGAACTTCTATAAATAGGATGTTGTAAGCGACTGCGAAGGAATTAATTTAGATAGGGAGATCAATAATAATGTTTTTTTAGTACTCTTATAGAGTTTACAGTTCTGAGCTTCTGTTCGGCGATTAGTGCTTCGGACTATTTTCTGCAAGCGATTTTGGTGATCTGTGATACTCCTCGCGTATTAAAGAGAATTTCACCTTTTCCGTTTGGCTATTTATAAAAGCAATTCTCAATACCGCAATATAAAAGAAATTCTTAATTCAATTCAAGCTTGAATTCTCAATTCAAGCTTTCCTCAACACCGTTTCTAGTCTTCCTGTTTCAATGGCCTAGTTATTTAGGGAGCACTATAGACTTATAACGTGAATAATATAATATAATATATATATATATATATATAAAGGAGAAAGTCTGTGTGTTTGTTTGTTCGTAAATAACTCAGTCACTACTATAGTTATCGTCATCAAACTTTCTACAATTATTTTCTGTGTCCAGGAAAAGGTCGACGTCCACGTTTTTTTTTTTTTTTTTTTTTTAAAAAAAAAAAGAGTTAAAATCAGAGATATTAATTAAAAACGCTAATTTTCGTTTTCATTTTTTCGAGTGGCAAGTGCTGATATCAGCAACGATGGCAAAGTCATATATCAGCAACAATGGATGCGTGCCATTGTTGCTGATGTAATGAGAGAGAACTAGTTTTTTTTTCCTATCGAAATTTGAGAGAATTAGTTTAGTTTCCTATCGAAATTTTTATGTGGGTGCCATATCACTCAAAATAATTCATTTTGTTCGATATGGCACCCACATAAAAATTTCGTAGTAATGATATATTTGTTTTTATTGTTGGATCACAATAGCAATTCCATATGTCATGGGTGTATATACCATATGATTCTATGATTACGTAGTCAGTTGTGGTACAGGTATTGAATATTACTTTGTTTCTTTGACATTTTTATGCATTACGATGACGCATCATATTCCTTATGACGTGTAATATGTGTAATATGCTATTACACGAATTTTCAAATGATGCCATGAGTAAAATAATACACTATTGTCAATCTAACTTAACCGCTAGTCTTCAAATAAAGATCCATCTGAACTGAATGAAAGAAACGCCAGAAATAATTTTATTAAAATTGTTATAAAAGCTTTGCATATTTTTAATCTTATCACTATAGATTATATAAAGGAAATGCTTCTTACAAATATATTTCCTTAAGTTCGAAAGTCGAAACATCTTTTGATATCAGTTTTATCAAAATAAAAAATGTGAAAAAGTTTTTTTTTTCTTTGCACAAATGAAATTTAAAAATCCTTGCTTTTTTTACATTTTTTAACAACAGAAATGGAAAGTATTCAGAATGCATGCTTGATATGAACGGAGTAAGTGTTTTGTTGCGTCTTTCCACTTTTAAACTATCAGCTGCAAACAGTATATTCATTAATAAATCATCGCATCTCGTCAACAAGTCGAACATATTCATATTTTTCTATTTTCAGAAGTGCTCTTCTTACTTCTCTAATTAAAGAAATTCCAAAGTTTATTTCTGAAAAAGAAAAAAAATACATAGGAATAAATAGATAAAAATAAAAGTGACTGTATGTGCTGAACATTTATAGAACATATATTTAAGTTTTCTGTAACTGAATTAGATATTTTGCAACCTGAGCTTGATAAACCATTTCTACAAAGACACTGTATAATGCACAGTTTTTGACATCAGAAACAGTGTGTAGCGATAAAAGGAACAGATATTTAAAGATACATTTTTACACTATCAAAAAAGGCATTTACGGATTTCAGTATAGTGCAGATTAAAAGAAACGTACGTGACGCTAATCTTTGCGAAGCTTTTTCTACACCACGATTAAACATCTGTGGCTGCATATTCAGTTTCATTGCACGTATCCAGCTCAAAAGTTTTCTCATTTCTTCATCAATGTTGTCTTTCTGTTTAACGCCTGCAATGAGAAAAGAGAAGTTGTTTACAGACGGCGTGCAGACGTTTCATGTATACAGAAGTATATAATATCTGGTTGTAACGAAAGTTTTCCGCCAAAAAACGTTCTGAACAAAGTTAGAAAAAAATTGCGAGTAATAATCACCAGATTTTCTACCAACGTTTTGGTAGTTTTTCAAAGCCTTCGGCCCAGAAACGTGGTGGCCGTGAGTCCACAAATAGATCAACCTCATTTCAAACGTCCTATGCAGAATAAAAGACAGCATCAGGAAAACGTAGCTCCAGGCGGGAAAAAAGGTAGAAGTCCAAAGGAGAGATGTCAGGGCTATATGGTGGGTGTGGCAAATTCCAGCCCATACACAGCCCAACCGGTGAATGCAGACACATGTGGTCTTGCATTATCTTAATGGAACATTACCTTTTTCCGCCGAAACTCAGTTCGATTTCTTCCTTGACAGCAGCGTTAACAAGGACTAGCATTTTAGCTGTACACCTTACTGTCGAGAGTTTCACCTTTTTCCAGATACCCTTTATTTCCAGATACCCACGACAATTCCACCAGATACAAAGCATGATCTTTTTGTTAGTCAAATTGCGGTTTGCGACGTTGCCGACGGGCTCACCGAGCGTAGACCAACCTCCTTTTCGGCCTGTGTTTTTGAAGTGAATTCGCTTTTCATCACAAGTGACAAACTGGTCCAAAGTTTTGTCCTTGTTTTTATATTCGAGCAGATTAGTGCAGGCCCGAACACGTATGTACTTATCTGTTTGATTCAGCTCATGCGGAACCCCAACGATTGAACTTGTAAGTCAAGATTATGGACATAGCACTAACATCTAACTCCTTAGCTCTTGAAAGGTTGCATACGGATCTTCATCCAGAAGTTTCCGCAAGAGGGCCTTATCAACAGCATTTGGCCGGCCAGAACGCTCTGCTTCTGTCATAGTTCTTGTTTTTGAACTCTCGGTACCAAATTTTCACATTGTCATATGTTACAACATTAGAACCTAAAGCTGTACACATGATTTGGCGACATTCTGTAGCTAAGTAAATGATAGTTCTAACCTGGTAGCGTGATAGTTCCATTTCGAACACTTTGTACTCAACGATAACGATATGTTTTTACGAATTTCACAACAGAGTGTTCTAAAGCAAGTCCGTTTCTTTCAGATGGTAAAAATCGTTTGACAAAATATGATTAAACACGCCAACACAAACTGCTTGCCCAGATGATATTTGTGGGGGCGGGAAACTTTCGTTAAAAAACAATATATGATATTAGAAACAACTTTTATACAGTAAGAGTGCAAATATATAAAAATTACTAGGGGTGTATATAAAAAATGATTTATATATATTATAAATTACATCAATTATACATACTGCCTTAAAAAGTTGGTGGAAATGTTTGGCAGGTGGAAATGAGTAAGTAAATTTATCAGTTGCCTTTGTTTGGATTTACTGGTGATGCATTTACACGATTAGAAATTGTTGGGTATTCATTTTAAAGCGCGTTCTTTTCCCTTGCTAGATGGCATCAGAAATACCATTAGTGAAAGAAGATGTAAACCTTGTTTTTTTAAGTGTTTGTTTTACCTTTTCAATGTTAAATTTAAATCAAAATGTAATGTCGAAAAATAAATTGTTTTTTTCTGTAGAGAATATCCTTCCTTTCAACCGAGACATCACGTTATCACGTTTACAATCCCTATACACCGGTAAAGGTAAGTGACGTTTTTCTTATTTTTAAAACAGATTAATAGCAGAGCCTGCATACTTCAGTAGATGCTGATAACTTCAATCAGCAACAGTTGATTAATTACATAGTATATATCTTCGGCGTCCACTAAGAAGCATTGTGTTGAATGAAAGCGTGCTAATATTTAAGTTGAATATATATAGATATTTATAGATATTTTCGTTTAAAAGATGGATTACGAGTTTTATGATCTTGAATAAAGTGTGTATTTTAATTTTGTGAAAGAATGCTGTTGAATTTAACATTGTGAGTGTTCTTAGCGTAACGGAACGAATTTGTTATTGATAAGTATTCAGTTATAGTTAGACATAGTGTATTTAAAATGAGTAAGACCAGAACATAGATAAATTAAAAAAGAAATCTGCTTCTTTATGTGCGTTGTTAAAAAAATATGTAGCATTTTGAAATCGAAACTAGAAAAAGATTCTTGCGATAAAGGGGAAATTTCTGATTTGTATGCTAAAATCGAAAGCATCATCAATGAATTAAAGGTTTTAGATTATAGTGTAATAGATATGTTAGTAAATGATAATAAATGTGATGAGTCCATCATTGCGAAAGAGATGGATAAAAATGAGAAATATTCTGATGAATTCATCATAATCAAAAGAAAAATTAGTCTCTAATACCAAGCGATATAAATTACCTAAATTTGAATGTAGAACCATTTGATTTAAAAAGTAAAAAAAAGAGTAGGCAGTCTAATTAGGCCTACAGGAGTACACAAGTAAAATTTTGTGAAGATAGCACTTATCGTTTTAATTATGTGGGTGTGCCCAAAGTGGCCACACTGATTGAATAGAGCTTCGAAAAGAGTGCTGAAACGAGCATTGTTGTCAATGAACGGACCGATGAGATGCAGAGAAACAAAGAATATAGAATTCTTATTTGTCCTAGATTATCGGTGAGCCCGGTCTGGGTTCGCCGTTTGATTTTAGGCAAGATTTCAAGGTAAAACTTTAAAACTAATATAGAATAAGGAGATTAGCATACAGCCAAAAAAATAACATAGAAATTTCTTTTCAAACTATTCCTTTTATACCCTAAAAAAAATCTGGAAGATTTCTTTGAAAAATGAGGGTCTTAAAAAACTAAACATGGCTAAAATATATGGACTGGTTTGTGTTGAGCTGCCATCTACTATAAATAAAGAAAGTTCAAAGTAACCTATAGTAACCTATAATTCCTTTTTCTGTGCGTACAGAAGGAAATTTTTAGGTGTGTCCAGACCGGACACACTGTGCCGCAAAGGGTTAAAAAGCATCATCCCTAAATGACTGTCTCTCCAAACGGCCTAACTTTATAGAAGAAATTCCGGCTATATTATTCATATTTCGAGAAAAGGCTATTGCTGTTGTGTCCGACATTAGAAGAGGCTTCCTCCAAATTGAAGTTAAAGATGAAAATCGCCAATTCTTGAGATTTTTATGTTGGGAGAAGGCAGATAAAATTAAAGCCTATCAACATAACAGTGTTATTTGGAGCTACTTGTAGCCCATTTTTTTTTCAGCGCGGTTATAAGGTACCATTTGAACAAGTATCCAGAAATCAAAGTAGTTACTGACAAACTCCTGAAATCCTATGTTGACAACTGTTTAACCTCCGGTAGACAGTCTATCCGAATTAGAAGAATTCATCTCGAAGTCAACTGAAATTATAACTGAAGCTAAGATAGATTTGAGATTATGGCAATTCGGTCCTGTAGAAGAAATAAAAAAATTGTCACTTGAGAACAGAAGTTTGTTTAAAGGAGATCTTACAACTCCAGTTTCGGTTTTGGGGATTACATGGGATAGAAAGGAGGATTGTTTAGTGATCTGCAATAATACAATGTATCTATAATACAATGTAATCTATAATACAATGTATTTACGATCCCATCGGTTTCTCGTCCTAGTATTGTGGCCACCCAAGCTAATGATTCAGGAGACCTGGTCAGCTAAGTCAGAATGGGATGCTCCGCTTCCAGAGAAAATTTAAAAGGACTTTCAGAAATGGTACAGTGAATTGAAACAATTATCTAACACAGACGTATAGGTTACGGAAACAAAGAAAAATGGTCCAAGCATGTTTTTTGTGATGCGAGTCAATGCATATGCAACAGTAATTTTCCTGCGCGGTGAAGGTGATAATAGGATTTAGGTACAGATTCTAGGAGAAAATTGCGACTTGCTCCAAAAACGGCTTTGACAATCCCCTGTCTAGAGCTTCTTGCTCGTGTTTTGGGAGCCAGATTAGCAAACTATATCCATGAGGCTCTGGATTTCCCTACAGTACTAGTTTATCACTGGACTGACCCTTCAACCGTTATAGCATGGATACGAAGAAATGACCAATGGGGTATTTTTGTGGGTAACAGAATCAGAGAAATATGCAAACTTACAGAATCACACCAATTGTATCTTGTCCCAGGTAATCTAAATCCGGCGCACCTGCCATCTCGTCTATATAACCCTAGACATCTTATCGAGACGAGAACGTGGGAGGGACCAAAATGGTTAAAGAACGAAGATATTAATCGGCGCAAATCGGAACAGTTTCCTAATGAAGATTTAGTTATGTCAGCCAGAAACAAAACGGCATTATAATTTTTTTACATTTACAAAAGTACAACAATTCAGGAATTATGAAAGAATTTCGAAATTTTGCATATTTGCAAATATTATTTGTTGAATGAAAAGATTCATACCAAAATGTAGAAAAGAAATTATTGTTTCCCATCTGAACTTTCTGTCGAAGAAACGAAAGAGGTAGAGAAGTTTCTTTCGTCAAGAATTCAGTTAAAACGTTTCGGTGGTGTTTTAGATACTGTCAAAAGCCTCGTTGTTGTGAAAGATCAAAATAACATGACACATGAAAAAACAATGTTGTTATAACATGATGACGAATTTTCATTCAAATATCCAATTTTGTTGTATCAAAATGTCACGTAGTAAATTGTTTAATACGAGTTTGTCATTTAAAGAACTGTCATACTGGTCTCCAGACTGTTACTTCCATCTTGTGAGAAAATCATTGAATTATTTCTCCTAATAATAATATCTGAAGTGAATTATCAAAATGCATGAAATGCAAAATGTTTACATCAAAACCATTTGTCACTCCGCCCATTCATCTTCCATTTGACCGAGTCAGAAACGCAAATTTTTGAAGTCGTGGGCACCGATTTATGTGGTCCTCTCTTTCTAAAGAACAAATGCAGGGTGTAGATTGTCATTTACATATGCGTAGTATCGAGCCA